CACAGAGACACACACACGCACGGCTCTTATGGACACTCCTGCTCCAGATCAAACGCTGCTCATTACATCACACCCCCTCACTGCCAAACCTCTTATTCCTGATCTTTACTTTCACCACATCAATTTAAGTATGAATCAAATTTCTTTCAGAATCTGGAGCGTGACTAATAGCGTTTGTGGGTGATCTCTTCTAGGCTCTCTTTGCACTGAAATGTCATCACTTGGTGAGATGTTGTGGAAAGAGACACGTGCAGTGGAGCGTGGCGCTGATTGCACACCTCCGGCTGCAATCTGAGGAAACATGATGATGATGATGATGGTGGTGAGGAGCATGATGTAATCCCTCTCATGCCACAGCAAGCGTGAGCAGCACACGCACAGAGCGGCAGTGCCATCTCATGGTCACTCAGGGAAGCGCGATACATGAGGATCAGAGAATTACATCACCGTTATCAGACAATAGTGCTGCTGAGATTCTGACTCTCGGATACAGACACACACTCATCACCAGAGTTGCCAAAGACAGCAAAAACGCTCACAGATGATGCAGCTTTATGATCTTTTACAGCAGTGTTGAACCTTTTCTGATTCAGTTCATCACTCTGTTTCATGAGACGGCGACGAGCTAAAGGTACAGTTTCTGCACAGTTACACACGTTACATGTACTTACTATTATAATAACAATTAATTACGCATAATTACATGCATGTAACCCTAAGCCAAACCCTAACCATATAGTAAGTACATGTAGTTAATTAATATTACTCAGTTCTTATATGTATAATTACAGTGTAACAAGGACACCTTAAAATAAAGAGTAACCAAAAACACTTCTATAGCATTAATTAATCTTAGTTATTGTCAATTTACTAATAGATTTTTTTAATCAAAAGTTATATCTGTAATAATTAATGCACTGTCAAGTGACAAACTTTGTTAACTAACGTTAACAAAGGTTAAAAAATAAATGCTGTAAAATATATATTGCTCAAGTTTATTTAATGTTAGTTATCAAATTAAGCTTTATTGTAAAGTGTTACCATTAAAAAAAAAAAAAATTATAATACTTCAGCAGGGACACAGTAAATTGATCGAAAGAGCCACATTTTTAAATGTTAGAAAAGATTGCTACTTCAAATAAACTCTGTTCTTTTGAACTTTCTGTTCATCTGTGAATCCTGAAAAATAAAATGCATCACAGTTTTCACAGAAATTGTTTCACTGTGTTCAACATTGATAATAATCAGAAATGTTTCTTGAGCAGCAAATCAGCATATTAGAATGATTTCTGAAGATCATGTGACACTGAAGACTGGAGTAATGATGCTGGAAATACAGCTGCGCATCACAGAAATACATTACAGTTTAACAGAGATTTACACAGAAAACAGCTGTTTTAAATTCTAATAATATTTCACTGTTTTTACTGTATCTTTGATCAAATAAATGCAGCCGTGGTGAGCAGAAGAGACTTCTTTCCCAAACATTAAAAAAATCAGATTGGCCTCAAACTTCTGAACAGTACATACTCTAGTTTTCTACATGGTTTCAGATGATGTGCTGATGTCGTACCGTTGTCCTGAGTCTCCCGTGACGCCGTGAGTCCGCTCCTCTTCTTGCGTATGTTCATGAGCTTGGCCTGTGAGATCTCTCGGACTACAGAGGACAGCTGCTCTTTCGAGCTCTGCGCCGGAGGACTGCTCTTCTCCGGTCCACACTCACACTTACTCAGATGATGGGTCCCCACCTCACAACACAAACATTCAATGGTTAAACACTTGAGAACGCTAACGTCTGTTATTATGATGTGTTTGTACTCACATCTCCATTCTGCCGTCTGTATTGGTTTATCGGTGGTAGCGATGCTGCTTTAGACCTGAAATCACATTCAGTCACATTCTGCTTGAAAACGTCCTTCATCTCTAGTGAAAATGCTGTGTCTTTCTCTTACCCGTTCACTCTCTTCATGCCGATGGGTTTACTGAAGAGCAGGTCGCTGTATGGAAGCTTTCTGAATTTGTCTCTGCCAACAGCGACGTAAAACTGTCCGTTTTCTAACTCCTTTCCGTCCATAACGAGAGTCCCTTCAAAGGTGTACAGGCTAAACGAGAAGGTGTTAAAGGCTTAATAGGTAAATACTGCTCAGGTAATATAGAAATGCTTATCATCTGAATGACTTTTCATGAGCCTCTCAGACTTTTACAGTGTGTCCTGGAGAACCACAGGAATGAAAGTAAATCAAAATGATGTCATTTGTAAAATGGTTGTAGCCTGTCTAAAAACATTGTTACAGGTGCACAAATTGCATGCAAACGTTAAGCCTGAAAGAGTTATGCTCTGATTTTAATAAGCGGCTGCCAGAAGCATTACATAAAACCGCATAAAAAGACAAAAGACTTGTTTTTCTGAATGTAAAAAAATCCTTTGAGCACTATGAATTAATTTCTCTTCAGTGTTATTGCCATGGAGCAAATTTCATCCATTTCTTGTGCTTGCGTACCTCCGGACACCCCCAACGATTCGCAGGCCCATTCTTTCAGTGATCATCTCCAGAATCTGCTCAAACTGGCCAATCACGCGGCTGGGAATCAGCAACCTCACCGCTGGATTCAGGACGTCTCCATTTGCCACAACACTGACACACACACACA